GGGTTTCCCAACCTCAAGAATGTTAAGGTTTTCAGTTCTTCAAAGATGTGTTTGAAAGGGAATATTGAATGGGATAATGATGACCTTCTCAAACTTTCAGAATTTATACTAATGAAAGCAACGGTTTTGGAGAAGTTCACAATTATATCAAAGAGGAAAACTTGTAAGATTTGTTCAATGAAGTGTGCTTCTCGGTATTCACTTCGATTGGCTGAGAAATTGGCAGGTTGCTCAAGATCGTCAACCACATCTGTGATTATTTGCCAGGAAGGAGCTTCCCATGACTAGATTGCACAAATGTTACTTCGTATTTAGTTTTTGATTTACTGCTGGTGATAAAAATCTTGAATTTGTCTTTGTAACATACAAGTACTATCTGTTCCTGTTATCTTGTCGCTGTGACATATATACCAAATTTTATGGTTGTTTGGTTTCTCATGAAACATTTCTTAGTCACATTTTAGATGTTATCTGTTGTGCACATTTTTCAAAATTCTTATGACTACGTTAGCATCAATGTTAAAACGATCCAAAACTAATGATATTAACGACGAACATCCACAGTGGATAATTATAATTACTTTTCACTATAAAGAACGCACAAAATTTAAAATAAGTCAAATAATTTATTTCTATTTTATTACGATACTTTATAAAACTACCTGATAGCTTAATGCAATAGTACTAAAAAATGGAATGTGACAAGTACATCTGAAAAAATATGAATTATATACGAGAATTATTTGATAAGGGAAGAAATAATTTACTCTATGAAACAAAAATAAAATATAATATTAAAAGGAGAGAAGAAAATTTTCTTTTGGCAGTGAAAAAAATAGAAAATTAGATTGAAGTTGATTTTCTAAAAATATAGAAACTCTCTGTATTTGGAGATAAAAATAGAAAATTAGGGCCTTCGATAATGTTGTAAATGTACACAAAGACACTAAGCAAATTGGTTATATTTCGAAATAAGATACCAAATATAGACACAAGATAGATTAGATCTTTTTTTCAACAAAACTCGTGAGGTGACGACAAGGAAAATATTTACTTATTAAGAACTATCAGTTATCTTGTTGTAATGAGGAGATAAAAATAGAGAATTGGGGCCTACGATAAAATTGTAAATGTACACAATTTTACTTATATGTCGTTTACAGTGCATAAAAAATATTAGATAATTTACCATACTGTGAATCCTAATTTGTTTAGTATTTGTTACTATATTTGGTAATTTATTTGTTTTATTTCCTATTAGAATAGGTTTTGTAATCCTACTTTAATTTGGTTAGGTGTTTTATCACCTATTTTCTTATAGTGAGATTTATGAAAACTTTAAAAGTTTATAGAAACTTTTGACTTTATAAAGAAAATATTTTCCAAGAGTCATGGGGATAGATGGAGGATATCGACGTTATTATTCAAAGAACACAATTACATTGACACCTAAGGTTGTGAATGATATTGAAGAGGCCATGTTACTAAGAAAATAGTAGATAGTATTTAGGTTCGGGAAATTAATCAGGTTTATATAGTTGGAGGAGATGGATTATGTCAAGTCAATATATGTATTTTATGTGTTTGAATTAATAGTTCATTTTACTTTACTAAATCTCGTAATAATAAAAATTATTTTTATTTATTTTTAAATAAAAGTTCCCTGCACATCTTTTGTTATGTGTGTGAGTTAATTTCTCAGTTAGTCACTTAATTCAATATTATTAACTAAAAAAAATATTATTATTATGGAAAGAAATTGAAATTGAAATTAGTAAAAATGTGACTTTTTTATAATAATAATAATAATATGAAAATAGTTTGAGATTTTACTTTTTCAATTGCATCAAAAAATTGATGACTTGATTGGTTGGTTCTTAATCTTATCCTTTCTTTTTCAGTGGGAAAACTGAAGAGATAATTGAAATGATGATTCATGAAAATTGATGTGGTATCTACAGATTCCTAAATATTGACAAAACATATACATACAAAACTAATGAAAAGCTTTTTGATTTAACAAATCAGCAATTCTGACTTAATCTGATTTAATTTTATTTCGAATTCATAACACATAATATTTGTTTGAACATATAAATTCGTGTTAAATTTGTGGAAGAATAGGACTATGCATTAATAATGAACGATCAGACAACGTAGCTCGATAGAAAATTATAGAGAGAAACATAGATTAAGATTAGAAAAGAGAATTTTAACGTTATTTAGAGAAAAAAATTACACACAATAATATTCTATATTTTACTTGAGAAATGACGCAAAAACTTAATAATATTGTTCATCTTTTTTCATATCATCACATTAAAAAGACCTAAAAATGTAACTATATATAATAATAATCTTAATATAGTGACATTTTTATAACTATGTTAAAATACATTGATATTCCATTTTTTGAAACAATATTATAAAACCCAAGCATTTCAGTTTTGCTAAATTGTCATTTCCATATATTTCCATATATATGGCACCTAGCTATGTGAAAGAATATGACATTATCTCATCTTTGAGAGTCATTCTAGCTAAGTTTGGACCACTTAAGGACTATGATATATATACTTTATTTGTATCGTTACGATATATATTTTGAAACATATCATAAAAAATATATCACTTTCTTAATTTACATGAAATATTTTATTTAGTTTATTATAATGACAATAAGGAGTTATTACTAATGTGGTTTAATATTAATATTTTATTTGTAAAAAAAACATAGAACTCCTAAATTTATCAACTCAAAATTAATTAATTTGAACTTAAGAAATCTATCGGATCAAAATTTATTCACATTCAACCAAAATCATAATTTTCTAAATGCAAAAATCAAAAATCAAAATTTTCATATCTTATCTGAACGATCATAACATCTTTATCTTCTAATCCCACTTACGTTTGGACGTATGTTATAAACATTTACTTTGTGTCTTCTTTTGGGTTAACATATAGTTGTGACTTGAATATTGGTGAAATAAAAAGAATCAACTATGTCAGATTAGATCATATTGTTATTATATTATTGTATGATTTAAAACTTATAAAATATATTCATATAATACTAAGATTGAAGTGATGAGTCTGAGAATATCTGAGTTGTGAATTAATTAATTTAATATATTGGAAAATTAGGTGTGGTTTTGTACTATTCCAAGAAAGTAAAGACAAACTCCAAGAATTAAAATTATATGTCTGTCTGCTGACATATTTCTTCTTAAAGCAGGTAGGGCACCTGCCATGCTAACTTCTTTTTATTTAATTCTTTTCCACCTTCAATTTATTGTGCATTTAATATTAATATGTACATATCATATTTTGTGAAATTAGTGTGTGATGACATTATTGACCCTAAGCAAAAATAGCAATATATACATGCATGATGTTATGGGTGGAACGCTTCGATAGCGTCGGAGGCGAAGTCAGAATTTTTCGAATATAAATATATCAAAGTAAAATGTATTGATGTGCGAATTGATCTTTCATCCTCAAGGTCAAAAAGCTTAATATTTAACCATGTGAATAATTTAGACTTTTCGTATTACAAAATATATACAGAGAGAGACATATGCAATGTCTAATTTTACGAAGAGATATAGGTGCAGGTGCCCTATTTTTTGGCTCTAAATTTGTAGCTGGTGTCAACATGTCGAGGTGTCTAGCTAGATATCGTTGTTCGAAAAATTACACTACATATAAATTAAATTTTATTTAATTATTAATATATAGAATATTTTGAATACTGTTAAAATCAATAGAGACATGTAATGCAATGGTAAAGACATGCTCAAAATCAATGTTACTATCAGAATTTTTGATTCGACATGAAATTTCTAACTACGTGTCACTGATCTAAATTATAATTTTTATTTAACCTAGCATACATGGTAAATGTTTCTAAAGAAGGCTTTATCTCATGGATAGTATATAAATGGTAATGATACAATTAGGTCATATTTCAGATAATAAATACTTTATAAGTATGATAATATTACTGATTTAACCATTTTTGTACTTTTCCGGTAAATTATATTTACTAGTAAAAATCGTTTTTAAGTAAACAAGGGTGGTTTAGTCAAAGGGAATATTAATTTAAATTAGGTGATATTGGTGTGTAACCAAGACATGTGGCCACTAGTCAACTCCCTTAGTACTCAGCATATGATAATGTATTAATCCTTGGTAATAAAATACTACTTTCTCCATTTTAAATTTTGAGATTTTTTAAATAAAATTAAACGATTATTCTGAATTATCAATTATTATAGATAATATTTTTTATGTAGTTTTTAATAAATTTTATTTCACTAACATGGATTGTCGTGTAATAATAAGATTATTCTATCTGAATTAAAAGTATCGAATTGGAGCTTTGTGTATAAAGAAATCTTATTGGGAGTGCCATTTCAAATAAGTCATATAATGTGCAATTCCAATTTAATTAGTTATTACTCTAATACGGACACCAAACATTGAGTGATTCAAATTTAATTAGTTAGTATTCTAATACGTACGAGCATTTTATATAGAGTGAAAAATCAAATAAATAAAATAAAATTTATTTCAAAACAATTCACTATGTTTTAAACTATATGAATCTCGAAACCCGAACATTTACATATATTTGTATATGTTAGAAGTATGATTGCTCATCTAAACTTAAAGGTTAAGCCGTTAGAGAGAGATGCACATTTTTATTAGTTAATTTCATTCTCAACACGTTCTCTCACGTGCGGCTTTAATTTTTTTTTCATAAACCAAGCATATGAAATTTTTGTTTGATATAAATAGCGGTGATCTATTTTTTTCATAAATCAAACTCATAAAAAAAATTAAACTATTCGATTACAGAATATATATCTGCTCAATCTGATACAATATTAAAATATATAACCATCTTATCTAATAGATTAAACTATTCGAGAAAGCACACTTTTACAAAGTCTATAGAAGGATTACTACAAGCATATTGTATGTGTCAAATATTGTGTGTTTTAACATAAAAAGGGCCAAAGCTTAGGTTCATTAAAGAACATCACCAAACCATTCAGCAAAAACATTAAAGAGAGCAAGCTACTCATCTTCCTATTTATTAGTTGCAATAAATAACAAGTCCAAAAAATATAATATAATCAAGCATTTGTAAGAAAAGAAAGGAGTTATTAATATGGAAGAGAAAAAAGAGAGTAGATCATCAGTTTATGATGAAGTTATCACCAAGAATCCATTTTTTTACTTACAAGAAGGCATTAAAGCTATTCTAAAATGCCTTGGTTTTGAATCTTCAAAACTTGTTCATCAAGCATCCTCTTCATCCTCGTCGTCCTCATCATCATCGTCTTCTTCTTCTTCGAGTATGTTAGGTACTAATAATAAAAAAGAAGAAGAAGAGAGTGAAAAACAAGAACAAGAGTGTGTTTTGTTCCATGAAGATGGTAAGAAGCAAGGTTCAGATTCAACAAATGATAATTACGAAAATGACCCTCCAGCTGAAACTAATGATGAAGATCCAACTCTTGTAAGTTCATCATCTACTACTTTTTCACCTTTTATTAATAAATCGGAAATCGTCTTTCTACTTTTAAAAAAAAAGTACGAATAAGACTGGATAGATATCATTCTTTATAAATTACGCTAAATCTTTTGTTATTATCATTAAATTATTCTCTTTAAATTAGTATTTTCATAGAGAAAATTAACGAAGAAATGATCTCATATGATTACGTATTACAAATAAAACTCAAGAAGATTTGATATATGCGTAGTAAATAATTTTCTAGCTAAAGGAGTTTGATGTATAGTAATTTAATCCACTACGTACACTACCGAATATAATGTTACATTACGATTAGACCATGTTTGATCATATTTTATCATGAAATTTGAAGAAAAAAAATAACTCTATTTTAAGGTACAAAATGATTTTTAAAATTGTACTTGGTTATGACTATAAATTAAATATGTTTTTAATTATTTTTTTTGTGTGTGTGATTTAGAGTGAAAAAAGTGAAAATGTCTTTTTATAATTTTTTTGTTTTTTTGTAATTCTCAAGTAATTGAATTCCCAATTTTATGAAAAAAAATGTTTTCGAAAGTTTAACTTTAAAAAAAAGGAAAATATTTCATGATTAAACACCTTTAAAATAAAAAAAAATTTAAAAAAAGGTCATAATTTCTATTATTAATAATAAAAAAATTAAAATTCTCCAGAATATGTCGGTTGTTGAATAGTATTTTGATGAAAAGAATAGCTGCTTCTCTCTCTCTCTTTGAGTTTCAAGAAATATGTCTTTTTTACAAAAAAAGAAAATATAAAATATATAGAACATGCAATTTCTATATTTATTTTTTTTCATTTTATTAGAATTATATCCAATTATTACGTATTTATTTTAGCAAAAAAATGAGATATAGGGACATGCAAAACAAAAGTCTTACACATATTTCTTTTTTTCTTTTTTTAAATAATGGATCAAAACCCTCCTAATTTTTATTTTTTTTTTGTATGTTTCATATTTGAATTATGTCTTATTTAATGTGACCTAAGGGACTACAACTTTCAGATGAACCCTTACAAACTATCACATTTTTATTTGTTTCATATTTAAATCATGTCTTATTCATTTGTTTCAAACTATAACATTTTTATTTTTGCCAAAAGAGGTGTTAACACTTTAACACACATTTAAAATTTTGTCACCTATCAAAGTTAGGGTTTTTTAACATTTGTTATGCTTCAAATCTTAATATAGATGATACAGTCATGTCTCTAAGTAATATAATTATTCGAATTTTGAGAGTCAAATCTATTTATTAATTCGTAATCACAAATTAAAGACATTATGATTTGTTTTATTTTGGTTGTGTACGCAGATATTAGCAACAGATAGGAGGGGAAGACCACCATCAAGACCTAAAGTTGGTAGTGGACCTCCTCCTCAGAACAATTAATTGATTAGTTAGACTATATATCGAACACTTTAATTTAGTCGATGGTTATTTTGATCAGTAAATTATTTAGAATATTAAAAAGATGATCGAAATTGTTTATTTTCAAGCCACGGCACTCGATAGACCTATATAGTCGTAGTAGTCGGCCCAAAATATGTCTGCTTTTTCATATGGTCGATATTTATATCGAGACTTAGGTCTAGTCGTATTGCTCTTTTATCTTGGTTTGATTTCGGAGTTAAATTGTATTAGGTCCTTTAATTATTTGTTTATATACATGTATTGTAAGATATAAGGAATTTTATTTTCATATTTGTAAGGTTAAGTATTAGTAAATAATTAAATCTACAAGTTGAGTATTTGTCGAATTTTGATTTCCAATTCTCTATTGATTTAAGTGGATGCAATCTTCTTCTACCGCTCTTCGAAATGTGATCGAACTCAATAACTTTATTTCATTAGATTCAAATGATTTTCAATTAGGGAACGATATTATCTTCGATACAGAGTATCATATGAGACCATCTTGAACTTTTAAATCATGACAATAAATCTGAGGAAGATAAAATATACAAGAACCTTTCTCTAATTACCTATGAGAAGGTAAAAAAAAAAGTTGTTAAGATTCACAACCGAATAATATCTATATTAATAAATAATTCGAGACAATTATGTTTACACTCCAATTACCTATGAGAAGGTAAAAGAAATAACTTTTGTTAGGCTCTCAACTGAATAATATTTAATAGTAAATAATTTGAAATAATTATTTTGAAACTAAGAAAATAAAGAATATGAATTATATTAGATGAGATTATTATTGAAAAAGCATGAATATTTGGTAAGAGTAGTCATTCATATGACTAGCAACAATAACTGCAGGGTCCCTCAAAAGATTAAAAATCTTCAAAAACATTAATACAATATGGTCCATCCACATTTATTTTGTCAGACAAAAAATAGTGGCATTTTTGTTTTTATTTGACTCTTCTTTCAGTTGACTGCTGAGTAGACTATATAATATATCAGATCATGCGTTGAACAATATAAATGCATGAGCGTGGAGCAACCTTCCGAACCTCTTTGGCGAAAAATTATATTATTTATATATAATTAAAATAAATTCATACGTATTTATAATAGATGTAAAATTCTCTTTGATTATCTATTTTTACACATTTTGAACCCCTTATTGAAAATTCTTACTTTCGCCTCTGTATAAATACTTTATTATTCTTCCAAATTTTTGAATGGAAATTAGAAAATAGTCATTTTCTGATTTTGCAATAAAAAATAGTTATTGTTGTGAAGCTTGGAAGTGAAATTTCATAACAGTAATTAATGTACAAAGATATAATCCAAAAGTGGCCAGTGAACATTATATCTACGTAACAAGTGCTGATTCGATTAAAGTTATTATTTCCTGTTCAAACTCTATATAAATATATAAAAATTAAGTGCAGAGATCACACTTTTAATTTAATACCTATTATGTTTAAATCTTGAATACGTCAAAAGGGGTAGAGCTAGAGCTTACATGTATAAGGGAGTGTTGGTTATGTGGCAAGAATTGATAGAAAATACAGGGAAAAAAAAGAATTTGAAAAGTTGAGAACGTGAAGATTTGGGAACTTGAAAAGTCCACTTATACTTATAATGAAAAGGCACTTGTCCCTCATCGGTGGTGGAAAGAAAAATAGGAGAGCTTATTTTAATTATTTAATTATTTAATTAATTAATTAATTAATTAATTAATTAAATGGATAAAATATTTTCAGTTAATTAGTTGATAACAGAAACGTTTCAATTTTTTAGTTGACTAACCCGACCGACTCAGACCGGCGCACGACCCATTTAATTTAAAAACTTTTCCTTTTTATTTAAATTTCTCGCCATTTTTGGAAATGACTGTTCTGAAAGGTTGCAACTTTCAGGAACAGTCAGTACCATTTGAAAGGTTCCAAACTTTCATTAATGGTCGCGTGGTTTTTGAAAGGATTGCAACCTTTCAGAACCTGTTCCTCTTGCCTATAAATATCATTCACTCTTCAGAATTTTCCTAACGAATTTTTCTGATCTCTTCTTCTTCTGCACAACAAATTACTTCGTGTGTTTTACTGTTGTTGACTGGTTCGCTAGCACCAGAGCTTTTGGTATCTATATCTGGTGATTGTAATCATTTTACCCTATGAGGTCATATTCCAAATCAAAACTCGGATACTAGAGGGGGATAATTTCCTTAAGAGTACACTGTGGATTCAGTGGACTTGATCTTTTTATGTTCAAATTTTTTCAGATTCTGGTACGTTACAGGTTTTAAGTTTTTTCATAATTAATTATTTTCATCTCTTGTACTGATTCTGTAAACTTTGATTACTTCACGTTTCTGCACAGTTTTTTATCAAAATTAGTAATTCTGATTTTCAAACACAGACTGGCAATAGGGGGTCATTTGAATCCTCTTTTACAGGAAAATCAAAATGCATATACACAAATATTGAGATTTCTTTTATGTATATATGATAGATAATGAACTCATTTAGGGCCCGTTTGGCCATAAATTTTCCAAATAATATTTGGGAAAAATTTGGCAAATAATGTTTGTCCATACAATTTGTCATTATTTGGCAAATATTTTTGGCAAATATCCAAATTTTCAAATATTAGTTTTTTCTAGTATTTGGGCCAAATATCATTATTTGGGATATTTTAAAAATTAAAATTTTACCCCAATCTTTTATCCTTTACAAAAACACCCTCTCTAGTATTTGCTTGCGTTGTATTACATCATTTTTTACGTGAACACCAAAATAGTGATGAAATATTTAGTGAATATTAAATAATGATATGATTGTTGATGAAAATTATTAAAATTGGTTTTAGGTAACAAAGTCATGTATTTTATCTACTTCACGATGTATGGAATAATTCTTGTTGCACTCACTCCAAATTACCACATTGTTTCAGTGTTATGGACATTATTTGTTATTGTTGTAACTAACATTCAATTGACTTGTAATACAAACTTTTAGTTAGTTTTGATAGTTTTTAAAACTTGTATGTATAAATCATATTTTTCTAAAAAGGTAAAATATATTTCCCAAATTTTATGGCCAAATACATGGTAAAATTTCACCCAAATTTTCACTCAAATAATATTTGCCAAGAATATTTGAAAATCTATGGCCAAATGCTAGCTTAGTGAATACATCATCTTCGTCACCATCTCCCATAGTTTTTTTTTTAGGTGGTATTATAACCAATGTTAAGAATTCATTAAAGTTGTAGCTATGTTAATGGAAGGACAAAAATAATAAATTTCAACATATTGCATGATCGATGAGGAAAATATCTTTTAATTTTTTTGCCATTGCATTTTCAACAAATAATATTTTTAAAAAAAGTATTCAAAACTGTTGAAGATATGATATCTTAGATATATCCTCAAAGAGACAGCTTATCTAACGTGTTTGTATAACGAAAACTTTGTAAAATAGAAGCAATAACAAGAGACTCATCATCATCATTAATATCATCATTCATCTCAATCTTCATGCATTTATTTTCAACCACTTCCAACTCCGGCGTTGACGGTGGTGGTGGTGGTAGTGGTTGAGGTGGTGGTGATGGTGGTGCCGGAGAATTATTATAAGGTGAAGGAAAAGACGAAAAAGGATATACGAAATTAGTACGTGCATTTTCGATACCACAAAAATTAATAGAAGAAATATCATAAGCTAGAGCAGCTTCTTCAGCAGTATCGAATGTACCAAGCCAATGTCTTTGTTTTGTATTTGGATTTCTAATCTCAGCAGCATATCTACCCCATGGCCTTCTTCTTACACCATGATATTTTGTTGAATGTCTTGAACTTCTTCTAACTAAATTTCTAACATGCAATTTAGGAGTATTAGTAATATTTTCCATTTTTTTTCTTTTTAATTAATTGTGTGGAAAGAATGAGATGGGGTTTATATAAGTGATGAAACGAATTAAGATTAATGTTTGTTTATTGACAAAGATAAGACAGCACTGATTAGCACTAAGATAAGTTAAATTAGTAAATTAGTGAGTTAAAATGAGTGTTTTTTTGTGTCTTATTTGTGGTTTGGTCAAGTGGAGCAAGTGGGAAGCATTCCCCATATGTTAATTATATTAAAAGGTGTTGTATTTTGTTTGTGTTTAACTTTTTCCCTACTTTTCTCAATTTTGACATGATTAGAGCAAGCATAATGCGGAATTTCTGAGCTTTCATAATATTTATATGCTAATTATTTTGATTAAATTTGGTCTCTTTGTCTCTACTTATTCCCTTAATCACATTCTCATTGGCTAGAGCTTTATTTGTTTGGAACAATGATTACACCTTGATTTTAAACCAGTTGAGATCGACTATATTCATAATTCAATAAACTACAGTTTCACAACTTCCATATACAAGCTAAACTCAAGTAATTTAATATTAAGGTACGATCGTCTATCACCTAGAGAACTAGTAATATGAGCTCAAATAAAGTGCTAAGCTAATATAGCCGTCAAGTAATCATTTGTACATTTCTCAAATTTTGAAAGAGTGAAGGATCACCCCATATACGATTTGAGTTTCTAAAAAGTATTATATTTTTGTGTTTCCACATTTGTATTTCTTAAGAGCATAACTTGTTGAACATCTAATTGAATCCCTTTAAACACATATAAAGTAACAAATTTACGAGTCTTTATGCTACAACAAAAGGGATCGATCTGTTCATAGTTGAAACATTTCAAGAATCAAGAGAGAAGAATGAATCAGCTGACCTATTATTTAACAATCATTACAAGTAGAACCGGAGCGAGTGCGCTGTAACCCTAGCGGTTGCAAAATTGGTAGTAGCTAAAATGGTAAAAAAGTAATGAATACATATTTGGCAAAGGCAACTACAATCCGAATAAATGAGCTAAAGATAAATCAAATCATATGAAGACGGAAAATATAGTCCCAATCTGTACATTTATGACGGAAGGCATGTACAGGAAATATTCAGCGAGTGAAAAAACAAACGATTTGTTGCAGCAGCAGCTGTCTAGGTGAGCTTTCGCCATATTGAATGTTTTGCCGCTGATAAGGACTTCACCCTGGGAAAAACAAAACCTGTTTTTGGAGGATTTCCATCTACCAGAGAATTTACGTAGATTTCTTTGCATTCTTGAACAACCTATATCATAAAGAAATCCCCATCAAGAAAGCAATAAAGAAAAAACAAGTTATCTTCTCAAAGGCGATGAACATGGGGATGCTGTAAATGCATGAGATTCAAGAGCAATATCACTGCTCTGGAAATAAATGTCGACAAGGGATAGACAAATACTTTCGCGAAGTCTGCAAACACGGGTTTTGGGCATAAAGAACACCCACAACTGACAAGTTTCTGCTTCATACATAATGGATATATTTATAGCTAGAACGGATATTAATCAAAAGTATGGTGAAACAAGAAGAAAAAAAACGATGTATCCCCAAAGCAATGATACATAATCACAACTTACTAAAATAACATGATAACTTCATTTACTGCATTGGCAGTGATTTAATGTAGAAAAGAAATGCTAAGAGTAGCAACATCTTATTTTTGGTAAGTTGATGAGTAGACTTTCTCAAATAATTCAATTCTGTAATAAAATTTTGAACATGTGCGCCACTTAGATAACACATATATACCTCTTTTGCGTCTTTTCGTGGTATGCCTTCCCGCAGACTCACAATCTTTTCAACTACTTCTGGCTGCAATTGAGAATAACAATGCTCAATAACAGGGTTCGTTAAGAGACAAACTACAAACAATAAATAATGATTTTAACCAGCAGCTTCGGGGGGGATCTTAGTAGCTCAGTTGGTTGGCTTCCTGAACTCCCACCTTGTTGGTGAGAGTTCGATTCCCCACAATGTAATCCCCTCTCCATTTCCCTTTCCCCAATCCCCAAATTTCTTTTTTAAAAAAATAGCTGCTTCCACACTAAAAACTGAGATGTAGATTCATAATGATTCTTATGTTTTTGCAATATTTCTGCATGGATGAGAAGAGTCCAAAAAGCTTACCGGACAGTCTGGTTGCTGTTCTAAAATATTTGTGTAAACCAGTGTGAAAGTATCAGGGCTCTCAGATGAAGCAAGTTCTCTCAAGTCACTGAGTATCCTTACTCTGCTCTCCACTTTCTGCAGTGGATTGAAAATTTGAGATAAGTTATAAAGGTACACATCATGTACTCCTTGTCACATTGACATACAATGTCCGCCACAAAAAGACAACTTGGTAGTTACCAAAGTTAAGACAGCATATATATAAACACACACACACACACTGCATGTTTGTTTGATTTCAAGCACCAGTAATGCAGATATATAAATTTCAATTGGAAAAGTAGGATAAACTTATTCTTTTCTATAACTGAGAAATCCCCAAGGGCCAGATGGCGCGTGGTTCAAAACTCTGAGCATAATGAGCCTGTCATCTAACATTTTCCACTTAAATACTAGGCAATTCTATTATGATTCGAACTAGTGACGTGCAGCTAATCCACAAGCATGTATTGTGGTCTCTTTTCTTTTTTTATAGGTCATCACATGCCTGTGCTCTTATCATCAGATCAAAGCTCTGGGCAGTAGAATCTTTTAAATTATGTCAGGATCTCACTAGAATAGCTTGAGATTGAATTCATCATAATGATATATTAGATGTAACCTTATTTTTCAGTTGACAAGAAAATCATTAATTAGATGTAATACATCTAAAGACTAAAGGGGAGACAACCAAAACACATCCATTGTTGGATCGCAAAGAAACTATCCACACAAAACCCTCATTAACTAGTCCAACGATTAAAAGACAGCTAGTGGCATGTATTTACTGGATTCAGTAAAGTATACTCCTTTATTTCTTCCTAGTACCATGACTACATAAAATTTCCAATCTCTTAAATTGTCGTGCTAGTTGCTTACTTATTTTGACTCTCCTTTTGCTGTTAATTTCTGTTTTTTCTTAACATGTCATAGAGTTTGGTGCTTTATGTCTAGGCAACCAATATAAATACATAATACTTCTCGGATCCAATTTCAGAAGTATAATGTTCTCTATCCTTGAGGCTATAGTTTTAACACAGCACTTCTTGGTATCAATTTCAGAAGTATAATATTCACTCTATCCTTAAGGCTAGTATGAGAGATGATCCCTTGCATTTTTTGGTGCGTCTGGACAGAAAGAAACAATAGATGTTTTTTAAGGCACTTCTTCCCCAAGCTACATTCTTAAGGCAAGAGTTTTAACAACTCTTTGTACCTGGAGCAATTTCTCCCCTGTCAATTCCCCTGAAGCTTTTGTGAACTTTGTTAGCTCCTTAACTTTAGATTAGCCTATAGTATAGAGCTAACAATGTATTTAACTTTTCTGTGCCCTGTAATTTATGCATCTTCTTGATGCCTTCTAGGAAATCCATCATCTTATCCAAAAAAAAAAAAAAAGAATATCATTCTATCCTTCAAGTTCTATAGAAGATGTATTATAAAATATATATGACCTTTTCGTCTCTAAAATGTTGTAACCAAGTTTTCCTTATTTACAATTACATGTTTGGCACATGATATTGTCATATAAAGTTGAAGTTTGATCTCCAAATACCTCGATATGATGGTAAAACATAACTGAGGGATTAAAATCTAGTGGAAACTTACATGAAATAAAGTCCTCATACAATATAAAGTATTTCACAATCATTTTCTTATACTCTTAACATTTCAGACCTTAGTTATAGCTTAGTTTGTGTATCTGAACAAACATCTTCTTTTCTGCAATTTGGTCTGCATCTTCTTGATGCCTTTTAATGAAATTCTCCTTACTCTGTGAAGCCTGATATAACTTTGAGACACAACAAAGCTCTTGGAGCCTGTGTTGGATTGGCTTATTTTAAGTGCTTTCAAGTTCAAATAACTTTTAAGCACTTCACAAATAACTTTTGTCATTATTTTAAGCCAAGTATTTCTCTCGTTTGCAAAATACAAGTCTAGTGTATTTCATTCTCTCGTTTGCAAAATACAAGTCTTGAACGAATTGCCACCATTTTAGCCCAAAAACAAAAAAAAATAGCCTTAAATTGGCACTGACAATGGCAAATTAAAATAAATAAACCTTTGAAAAAAGTTTAAATTAAAAAAGGCAGTGTTCTTGCACCGAAATTGGAGTTTAAGTTCTAGATTAAGCCAAAATAATGATAGAAGAGACTGGGGTATAGTAATTTGTGACTCTTTTGTAATTTGAAGACATTAAACTCATAAACTAGAACATGAAATTCACAAAAAGGATTTGGCAAGCTCTCTAAAGACAGAAAGGCAATACTTATCCATATCTGAAAATGCAGAAGTAAATGGGATAAGATAAGAACTAAAAAATGCACACATTTGCTGAGATGCATACCTATTTGCCACACTCACCAACGAATTAAGTGCAATATGTGCATGAGTTTTAAAATTCCCCAAAACTTAAAATATATCTCAGGTAATAAATAGTAAGAGCTCAATAAGAAAGTTGTTGGGCTTACAGATACGCTAATGTACTCCCGAAAGAAATCCATGAGAACCTCTTCATCAAGCCTCATCCTCTCAATAGTTTCTTCTTTAATATAGTTTTTCTACCATGAGGAGACATAAAATAGTCAGTGAAATTGTGTTACAACCCAAAAATAAAACCTGTATCAAATAAATGAACCGTCAGGAACTTTTCAAATAAACCTGGGTAAGTAGATGATCCACATATACAACAACAGACTCCTCCAGGCAAGCCTCAACAAAACGCCTAAATGATCTTTCTTCAATGTACCTTTAAAAATTGTGAAACACACATGAGTTAAGGATATGTGCCTCTCATACTAGGATATCTCTCAATTAAAAACTGTTGCTGCCGCTGCATATGAACATAAAAATATTTTAATAGCTTAAATGAATAGGAGAAAAAAGAATTCCATGGGAGGAGCACAGCAACATGATCATGCCATTCAAAGCTATTATAAGAGTTAAGCACAGAAGAAAACTCACATCTTCACATCAGTGAAGTAGTCTCCAAACGTTGCAACTAGGAACTCGGTAACCTGTCCTTCCAGCCAATCTGAGATATAGAACATAGAATATTCAAGTGAAGGCTAGAGTTTAAAATTATCACAATTGACAACCTAAATCACTTGCATAATATCTGACTTGGATTAATTCATTGACAGAATGCTACACATTTTTTTGATAGGCACAAAGATAATAGAAGGCTTTTATTTGGTACAGTACGTAATGGTTAGACTCCTTCTATGTGGCTAGAAATATCTTGCTTCTAGCGTCCATTGCTAGGTTGCAGAACAGTTTATAACGGTTGCAGATCTTGTTCCTACCATTAATTGCTAGGCAAATTCCATAAGTTAGTTTCAAATTAATTACATCCATCTATTCTAGCTATCCCTTTATCCAAACTCAACATTCCAGTTTGACGAATTAGAATTAATTGTTCGTTGAA